CCCCCCACAACATCGGTCGTGCTTGAGCCCCAAGCCCCGGCTTCTCTCCGCTACTCCATGTTTACAGGAAGTGCTTGCGGAGAGAGAGTGCCGGCAGGAAACAGGATAATGCAGAGTGCGCTCAGTCCGGCTGACACCAGGATAAAACACAGCCATAGCGCCCCCCTCTGCTTCTGATATCCACACGAGTGCCTGGATTCGCAGGCTGCTGCTGATGTGTCTTTATGTCAGTAACAGCAAAGCTACTGGGGTAGGAGCCTCTTTCTCGTATTTCAATCTGAGCTCGCTGCGTGCAGCCTGCGTGAGGGGTCACTCTGACCACAGAAACTGGACCTTTTTCCTTCATCTGTGGCCTATACTACGAAGCGGGGTTACTGGCTTATCGGGGTAACTTGTCGGATTTAAGGTAGTCTGGGCAAAATGTAAGCGAAGGAATATTAAGTTCATTTAAACTGTGGTACCTTAAATCCGACAACTTACCGCGATAAGCCAGTAACCCCGCTTCGTAGTACAGGCCACTGGACAGACGAAAGCAGAATATTAAAAAGTAAATATTTTGAGAGGTAGTGTTAATGAGGACTGTGGCCTGCGATGGACTGGCACCCCATCCAGGGTGTCCCCCAGCCCTGTGCCACCTGGGATAGGCTCCAGGCCCCCAAGACCCTGAGCAGGTGGAGCAGTCAGAAGCTGAGTGGATGGAATTTTTGCCAAAATGCTCACTCTGGGAATTTTCCTGGCATGCCAGTCTCAGTTTTATATGCCGTTAAATTACACAGACAGGCTGTACTCTATAACGCCTCCCCGAGGCCGAGCAGTCTGCCGGCAATGCTCCTCGCACCGCCCCTCTCTGAGGGTCCTGCCCCCCACCCAAAAACTTGCACCCGGCAGGTTGAGAGCTGGGTGTCTCTGCCGCACTGGCCTGGCTGCAGTTTGGGGAGGAGAAGCGTAACAGCCCACAGTGTCTCGGTGTCCTGGCCGGAGTCTTGGTGGGAGTCTCGGAGTCCTGGCGGGAGTCTCGGTGTCCTGGCCAGAGTCTCAGAGTCCTGGTGGGAATCTCGGAGTCCTGGCTGGAGTCTCGGTGTCCTGGCCGGAGTCTCGGTGTCCTGGCCGGAGTCTCGGAGTCCTGGCGGGAGTCTTGGTGTCCTGGCCGGAGTCTCGGAGTCCTGGTGGGAGTCTTGGTGTCCTGGTAGGAATCTCGGTGTTCTGGCAGGAGTGTCGGTGTCCAGGCGGGAGTCTCAGTGTCCAGGCGGGAGTCTCGGCATCCTGGTGCTTGTCTTCGAGTCCTGGTGGGAGTCTCGGTGTCCGGGTGGGAGTCTCAGTGTCCTGGTGGGAGTCTCTGTGTCCTGGTGGGAGTCTCTGTGTCCTGGTGGGAGTCTCAGTGTCCTGGTAGGAATCTCGGTGTTCTGTGAGGAGTCTCTGTATCCAGGCGGGAGTCTTAGTGTCCAGGCAGGAGTCTTGGCATCTTGGCACAAGTCTCTGTGTCCTGGCAGGAATGTCAATGTTCTGGCAAGAGTCTCGGTGTCCCGGCGGGGGTCTCAATGTCCCGGCAGGAGTTTCAACCAGCCGCATTGTGAGTCACTCCAGTGAAATCATTCCCACTTTCATCATCTTCCCCCTCCCCCCAGATGTCTACACCCAAAACCATCATCTCCTGCTGTGTCATCATTACTCAGCAAACTGTAGGTACTCCGAATCTCCAGCCCTCCCCTCGTAATAACCCCCTCACCCCAGCAGGTTCTGGGGTCTCGCCCGTCGGCCATATCCACTGCCCACCGCCCTGCCCCCTCATAGTTATCCTGAGAGACGCTGCCAGAAGGGCAGAATCGTTATCGAGCACCCGATTAATAACCAGCATGCTCAGTAGCAGTCGCAGCCCTCCCGATTTCCCCCACGCTGCCGTGCGACGCCTCTCATAATCTCATGATGTTTATACACAAAGCGCTCTGCTCAGAACCCCAGGTTATGCAGAAGTGCTGATTATCTTCTGATAATTATTTAGATTCAAATTAACGTTACTTGAGGGACCCTTTTCCCCTTGGAGTTTTTGTCTTCAAAATACATATTGAATAATCATTTAAATAAGAAACTTTTATTCTTTTGTATTAATATATTTGTAGAAAAAAAGCTAATTAGACCACTACTAAAAACTCTAATCACTTTCAGACAGTTTAACTTAATTTGGCTGCCTGTCCCTCAGGTCACGCAGAGATTGCAGGATCCATCTGAGAGCACTTTCCCGTAGTTAAATCTGAGAGCCCCCCCCCCCCCCTTCAGTAACGGTTTCATCAGCCGGTGATGGCCAGAGATTCGGGCATATTGAGCAGTAGCCGACTGGGGGACGCACCATGGAGAGCTTGCACATGCTGTGCATGCACAGGGGTCCTTAGCGTGACTTGGCTGGGGGTATATTGCTAACAGGCAGTCAGGTAACCGTATGCTTGTGGTCCATGGTACTCTGAGGAGTCCGATTTGACTACCCTGGCCTGTCCCATTGGATGGCAGGTGACCTGCCCCGTTGGTTGGCTGTGTGTGGCACCCTCACGATCTGGCACCCGTTTGGCCTGCCCCTGCCTCGTCAGTCTTGTTTCTGTCCTCCAGCCCACAGGGGGCAGCAGCCATCAGGTGTTTGCCCTTCCCTATCACTGGGCTGCCTCCGTCTCCTCGTCAGCCTCCAGTAGGCTGTGCTTCTCCCCCGTCAGGCCCTGCTGGGCTGAACTCACCCCCACCCTTCCGTTGGCCTGCCCCCGTCTCCCCTTCACCCCTGCCGAGTTGCTCCTCCCCCCACCTTTGCACGCCCACCCCCAGCTTCACTCGAGGTTGCCCACGAGGATGACAGTGAGGAAGTATCTCTAATCAAATGACAGAGAACATCAATGGATCTGCTCTTGGAGCTGAAACGCCTCATGACCTGGTGACACTTGATCCATCTCTTTCATCTCTCTGTCCCGCCTCTCCTTTCATGTGGGCTCAAGCTCTCCCCCCCACCCTCATGCCTCCCATTTTATAACTTTTGCTGTGTCAATTGAATCTTGACCTCTGGTGAAGGTCAGTGGGCCGACCGTTTCTGAACCCTGGCCCTATGGCCACGCCCACCGCACCTGCCCCTGGGGTGGCCCCAAGAAGCCGGGAGGCCCCAAGGGAGGGTCCCCAAGGCAGGTGGCGTGGCAAAAAGTGAAACCCCATCATGGGGGCAAGAGAAACTTGACAAAAAAGAGCTTTAACATCCCAGCTCTTTATATCTGTGGTTTAACCACCCTGCCTCATGAAGCTATGAGTATCCTGTTAACCTGGTCATATGAACCCCAGTGACAGGAGTGTTGGGATCATTTAATGCCACTCGGAGGTGTCAGTTTCAGTCACAGAGTCAAATAAGTCACCTCATTCCCAGCTCATTCCGCTCTCATTCTTATCCTCTGCTCCCTACCATACAGCTGTGTGACTGCGGATCTGTCCTGGCTGCACATCCCCACTCTCTCGTGTTTATCGACGGTCATGGGGGATTCTGGGAAAATGCGCAGAATTAAAACACGCATGTGTCGAAATACGACGGGAGGTTTTTGACGCCGACCGATCGGAGCCGGGGTTGTTTATCCTGCGCTTTTGTTTGGAAAGCGCCAGTCGTGAATATCAATGAGAATTCCTCTGTAAACGCTTGTCACCTAAGCGATATATAAAGCGCTGAACAGGTTTCTCTCCCCCCCCCCCCCATATGCCTCACGAATGCCGAGTGGGGAGACATTTTCCCGTCCATGCGAATAAGAGAGTGACATTTAGAAGACAAAATGTAGTACAAGGAGAAAAAGATGTGTAGCACACTGCTTTAAATGCCAGTTGAACACGAGCCATTGTGTCCCACGCACGGGATCACGGAGGCGCTAAGAGCCGTGAAATGCAGACGGGCGCGTCGTGAGGTAATCGAATTAAAGGCTTCAGGCCGAGCCCGTGCCGCTTGGCTGGAGGTCCCCCGCAATCTCTGTCTCATCACCCAAGAGCCTTTCAGCAGCATGTAAACATATCGCCTCACATTTCGGGGTCCCAAACAGCCACCAGCTGCTGTGCAGGCAGAGTGAGCTGAGCCTGGTGAAGGTTCGGACCCCAGGCGTGACCCAGGTGGGCCCGTGGCCTGGGGGCACGTTTGCAGTGTGCATGTTGGGGCTTGGGTTTCCCGAGCGAAAAAATCCCCATCAGAAGAAATCGGTAATCTGGAAAAAAGAGAAGCGGAGCACTTGCTGTTTCTGCCCGTTACATGCGCATCTTCAAATTAAAAGCAGATATACAAGAATTCAAGCCCTTTTGTTTTTTCATTCTTAAACTCAAGGAAACATTAAAATTCACGCCACCATCCTCGTCATCGCCGGCGATGTATGTCGACAGGTTTCTTCCTAACCCTTTGCGATCTGGCACGTTTATGGAATGTTCTCTGGCATCGACGCCGTATGAGATGCAGTATTGGGTGCGATCGCCCCCGACCTGTCTGTTGTGCTGCTACGCTTCTTGTTCTGGGTTTTGTCTGGGTTTCTCTCTCTCTCTCCCCCGCCACCCTCAGATCGGTGGCGCCTGACTGTGTTTTTGCTCGCCTGGCTCCCCGGGGGCGGGGATAATAAGCTCCGACCCACCACCGGGCAACTCGTCGGGAAGCTAATCGGCAGCGTGAAGCTCGCAAATCCGGCTGAGAGTTCTACTCGTTATCCCCCTAATTAAAACATGCGGTAGCGCACCCATAAATACATTCCCGCCAGCGGGAGCAGGAGCAAGAGGCAGGGAGTGGGAGATGGGGAACAGGAGGCGAGGAGCGGGAGACAGGAGTAGGAAAGTAGGAGCGGGAGGCAAGGAGCGGGAGGCGAGGAGCGGGAGACAGGAGTAGGAAAGTAGGAGTGGGAGGCAGGGAGTAGGAGGTAGGGAGCGGGAGGCAAGGAGTGGGAGGCAGGGAATGGGAGACGGAGTAGGAGGTAGGGAGCGGGAGGCAGGGAGTGGGAGGCAGGGAATGGGAGACGGAGTAGGAGGTAGG